AATTTTAATAACTACAGATGATCGAGAACTCTGTTTTACATTTCACTCAAAATATAGCACCTCCAGCAGACTAGAGTTTCACCCCCACCCCACTGTGCTAGGGAATTCATTCAGCACTGAGGGCTTGTCTGCGCTACCAGCTGGATCAACGGGCAGTGATTAATCTAGCAAGGGTCGATTTATTGTGACTTGTATAGATGCGATAAATCGACCGCCGATCATCCTAGTGTCGAGTCCAGTACTCCACCTCAACAAGAAGCACAAGGGAAATGGACGGGAGAGCATCTCCCATCGACACACCTCAGTGAAGACACTGCAGTAAGTAGGATCTAAGTACGTTGACTTCCGTTATGTTATTCACGTAGCTGAAGTTGCATAATTTAGATCGATCCTTCCCTCCGCGCCCCGTAGTGTAGACCAGCTCTGAGTAAGACGGGAGAGTACTACCTAATGAATCACCAATGCCAATTCCATCCAGGTAGAGATAGTCTTTGACCGTGTTTCTGTTGTGAAATCTGACAGAATAACAACACAAAATGTCATGGCTGCAAGCACATCTTTGTCTGTTGAAACCTATAATTTTAAAAGAATAGTTGTATTACTCAGAGTTTATACTAATTCCTTCAAAGCTTAAACCCAATCAGTTTTCTTGCCCTTGTTTCCCCTCTGTACTTTGGTTTCTTGTTGTAGATCTACTCATGAGTGGAGTGTGCTATTGTTAAGTCTCCAGTGTAATCTTCGCACCACAGGAATAGTACCTATAATACTGAAATCGGATATGTTAAAACTGTACAGCTGGTATATCAAAGCCTAGCTGATGCCAGTAGAGCTGTGCAAATAATTGATTTTTTTGGTTCAGTGGCCAAACTGAATTTTTTTTTTTAAAGTTGCTTCAGGTGAAAAGAAAGAAAAGAAAAAAATGTGAATTTTTCAGCAAACCAAAAAAGTAGAGACCTCACACGTCACCCTTTGGCGAATTAATATGCATGTACCTGATGCCGGGGTTCCCTGTAAAATCCTATGCACCCACTGTTTCCTCAGCCACACACCCGGCCCAGCTCTGACCCAGCCAGCACACTACAATTAAGAGCAGGCACAAGCAACATGAGTGGCTAACTGCCCCAAGTATGTGCCTTGCATATCAGATGGGTATATACTTGGGGCAGCTACTCCCGTGTGCCACCACAGTTACACTTCATTTTTAACACACTGGCTCAATAAGAGCTAGCATGGGAATGTCTCCATGAGCTGGGAATTACACTTCCAACTTGAAGTGTACACATACCCAAAGTCTGGTCGTCTTCTCTTTCCTCAGGACCAAAGCAGGCCATGCCAGTGCTGGTGCTTATCGCTGTTCCTACACAAGAGAGGGCTATGCATTCTCTCTCTCTTCCCTTGGGATCTGGAGGAAAGAGTATATGGTGGCAGCCCAAAAACAGGAAGGGTTTTTGAAAGGGAGATATACGTAAACACACTTATCAGCACTCCATATGGTCTCTCTGCAAGCAAAGATTGTTGAGGACCAACTAGTTAAGCACTGGGTATGCTGCTGAACAAATCAACAGAATCTACTCCCAGTGTGTTTCTGAGTCAATACATAAGTAGCAGTGTTCAGATTATTTATCCAAATGTGAATATTACTAATATTTTTGATATTCATAATACTTGATTCTGTTCGCTTCCCCACAGCCCTGTTCTGCTTGTCCTGCATTTGACTGTTGCAGTGTTTAAAATTAAACCACCAAATAAATTGATTTAAGAAATCCTTTGAATTGATGCAGCATGACTTTGAGACTTTAGCATAGAATATAAGACAATCCAAACTATGAAAATAACTACTGTTGGGTAGTGAGTGATACTATTTGGGTCAGCCATATTTTACTGCACTTTTCCCAAATATTTAAATCACCTTTTACCTTGTCTCAGACAATAGCTGTGAAGGAAAACATTTCTCTTTTGAAAAGTGTGAAGCAAACCTATACTGGAGAATGAGACCGATATCAAAGAATTGAACCATATCACATGGTGTAGGGGAGTCATTGCTTTATTAGAATGACTGAATATGTTTTAATATAATGCAGATGAACACAGATTCTTAAAGCTTTTTGTTGACAGTCTACGACTTGACAATTCTAAAAGCAAAAGGGCGATGCTTGGTGTGCACCTTTCATTGTAAGTCAGTGCCACAGCTATTTCATGACAAGGCTGGTATCTAAATTCTGTGGACAAACAGGAGAGTTGAGATTGTGTGTGGGTGAGGTGAGTTCTTTATTGTTGAGAATCCTGGCAGATTTCCCCACTTTCAGCATAAGAGAAAGGTGAATTAATTACTTCTGATAGTTATTTTCTGAGGGTTTAGTTCCTTGCTTAAATCCACAATTACCCTGTCACTTCACCTTGAGACCTGAAAACTGCCTTGACCTGGTTTCTTCTAGCCCAGGTCATTTGGAACCATTAGTCAGGAAGAAACTGAGAATTAAAGAATGTGCCAAAATATGTATGCCTGTCCCTCTTTCTGTCATGACAAGATTTTTACAGCACTCCTCAACAATGTGGCCCAAGAACGTGAATTGGTATAACAAGATACTAGGCCAAACTTTGCTCTTAGTTACCCTGTGCAACCTCCGATAAAAACAGAGGGAAATGGCACATGAGAGCAGGGAAGCTAAAATGCAGTGGTCAGAGAGGAAAACATCATGAGAGAGAGGAAGGAAGGAGAGAGGAGGAACACAGATGCAGATATTTGATCAGTCTGCCAGTTTTTATAGAATTACATCTTAAAAATTATTTCACGTGTTTCCCCCCCAACTGAAGAGTATGCAGGGTGAAAACATTCTGGTTGTGACTTCCTGCCTATTAGCTAGAGTCAGGGTGTGTGAGTCAATGTACTCCCATTTGCCAGAGGAGCGCAAGTGAATTGAATAACAAGAGGCTGACTTGGCATCTGGAAGTAGGCAATGGTGTGGTGGGTAAGTGAATGTGGCCAGCCAACTTGATTAGTGCCACCAAGAGCTACCAGGTACGTGAATTCTTCACCCTGAATCAGAATCTAACTTGAGTGACCAGATGACCAGAAAATAGCTGAACCTGCGAATGTCACAACCTCCTTTGTGATTTGTTCTTACAGAAACTAATTGAGATGGGTTCAGTTTAACTGTTTGAGGGATTTTCGTTCGTTTTTTTTATTAGGCCAAACTCTTCAAACTTGGGTGCATAGACTTAAGTGCCTAAATCCGTAATTAGTCACCTGAATATAAGTAGCCTCATTTTCAAAGTTGCTGAGCACCTGCAATTCTGCAGCTCCTACTAAATTCAGTGAGGTTTGTGGATTATCAGCTTTTCTGAAAACCAGGCCACTTTTGTTCAGGTTCCCACCTATGTATTTAGGGGACTAACTCTGGGCTAAAGTGGTGCGATAATGGATTTTTTGATTCAATGACAATTCCAAAAAGTGAAGAAAAAAAATGTTCCATGTCAAACTCAAAACAGATTTTTTACAAAATTAAATTAAAATTAAAAGTGTCAAATTAAAAGTGTCATTCAACCTGAAATGAAACATTTGTTTTGATTTCAAGCTTTTTTTTTTTTTTTACATTTTTGATATTTTAAAATAAAGTTATAAGAAATTTTTAAGCAAAAAGTTATTTCAAACAAACGTTGAAACATTTAATTTCAAAAATGTTAAAACAAAATGTGTAGACTTTTTTTAGGAAGGTTTGACACAAATAATTCTGTGAAACCTTCGCAAATTTGCAAAATGTTTAAGTGTCACTGAATTTGCATTTTTTTCTGAAAAAAAGATTAACCAAAATTTTTCACCCAGCTCTATTTGAAGATTTTAGAACTAGTGTTTAAAAAGTCACATAAGTGAATTTGGGTGAAGTGTCAGATTGGCTAAGGGACATAACCACGTGCTTACCAGCTCAGCCTCTTTAATCAAAACTTACATGGACTTGAAGGGCAACTGCAGGATGGGGCTCTAAATAATGTAATAAAATAAGATCTCAAAATTTGCTGATTAATATTTAATTGTTCATTTTTATTACCAGGAATATAGGTCTGATTTGAATATAGAAAAGAGTGGCATGCATTTCTGAAAACAAAAATGAATTATGAAATTAAAATAAAAGTTCTGCATTGGAAAAACAATCTTCTAAGTACCCAATAAATGACTTCCTAAGGCATTTTATCCAAATCCAGAATCCCTTTGACTGCTATAAGGCATGCTACATTTGAATTCCTCAGTGGTGCACATGGCTTAAAATGTTGTTTGTGTTGAAGTGATATTGAAGGGAAAGTTTCTGAACAAAAGCAAAATGAGAGATTCTTAATTTCAACATTTTCCAGGTAATCTCATTAAAGTACACATAATTAAGTTTTCAGCAAATGAAATAAATTGAATATAGTGTTTTGATTTCTAGAAAATATTAAATTTTATCTTAAAGCTATTGTATTTCATTTCTATGCAACCTGTCCCCTCATCTATAATATGTACAGTAATGTGTGCTGCCTCCGTCATATACGCAATAAGCCCTCTCCTTTACGGTTGCTGTCTTAAGGTATGATATCATCAGAACCCATTGACTCAGTAGCACCCTCTTATTAAATTGATTTCCAGTTATTAAAATACTTGTATGCAGTGCTACATCACCAGCATTTGTAATATTTGCCTTAATCTCATTTGCTTTTTTGGTATGCCAGTCATAGTAAGGTAAGATATTGCAATACACAGCAAAGACTTTGTAAAGGACCATTCACTTCTTTGCAGCTGGAACACTGGCTTCTCCAGTGCTTCTGTCTTCAGATTAAATGAATTTATTTTTCTGAATGATGCTAGGCAAACACCATTTCTGAACACATTTGAACACCATTTCAGCCTTTCTACGCTGATACAAAATGTGCAACATGATTTTAACCAGAAGATGGCATGTTGTTCTCCCTCGTTCCTTTTTCTTTCTTAATTATTAACAACTGCCTTTCTCCTTTTTCTGTTGTTTCAGTTAAAGGATCAAGAAAGTTAAGTCTGCCAACAGATCTTAAGACTGATCTTGGTACGGTAGGCGAAAGCCGACAGTTTTAAGTTTCCTTACATTCATTTGGCAAAACATTTTTACCAACTGATCCATAAGGTAGCACGATAACCTTTGAAGGCTTTGTTTGAAAAGGCTTTCTTAAAAACCACCTATTAACCCATACAGTTCTGTTGGCAGCATTCAGCATTTTGCTTGTTTAACACTCATTTTTCATGTAATTACATTTTGCAAATCATTGCACACTTGAGTGTGTAACTTTTTATAATGAAATGACTTCAGACTTTTGGACAAATTTGAACCATTCTGACTGGTTGCCAGCGATGTTTATCTGTGTCTGTAACAGTGCATGCACTAGTGTGTTTTCTAATTGTATATATAAATTCCATTTCATAAGAGTGATGAGACACTTAGGCTTATGTATTTTATAGTGTCTGTTGCACTTCTCAGGTGTCAGGTCAGGTTTCAGCCATTTGTCTCTCAGAATACCATTTGAAACATAGCATAATAAGCTCTTAAATGCACTCCTTGGTGTGTCTTATTCTTCAATTATCTTCTTTAATTATTTTAGTGAAGTGGAACAGTAAATGAGGGGAAAACTTGATCCCAGGGAGCCTAAACCAACATTTAAAAGAGGGCAGATAAACTGAAAATAGTTGGGTCAGATCATGCCATTTTAGACACATACATAGGGCCCTACCAAATTCACGGCCATGAAAAATGTGTCACGGACCATGAAATCTCGTCTCCCCCCCTGAAATCTGGTCATTTGTGTGCTTTTACCCTATACTACACAGATTTCATGGGGGAGACCGGCTTTTCTCAAATTGGGGTTCCTGCCCAAAAGGGAGTTGAAGGGGGAGGTGTCACACGGTTATTTTAGGGGGGTTGCAGTGTTGCCACCATTACTTCTGCGCTGCCTTCAGAGCTGGGCGGCCAGAGAGTGGCGGCTGTTGGCCAGGCACCCAGCTCTGAAGGGAATGCCCTGCGAACAGCAGCACAGAAGTCAGGGTGGCAATACCATACTATGCCATCCTTACCTCTGTGCTCCTGCTGGCAGTGGCTCTGCCTTCAGAGCTGGGCTCCCGGCCAGCAGCCGCCGCTCTCCAGCTGCCTAGTTCTGAAGGCAGGGCTGCCACCAGCAGCAGCACAGAAGTAAGGGCAGCAGTACCGCAACACCCCCCCACACAATAACCTTGCAAACCTCCCCCCCCCGCCAACTCCTTTTTGGGTCAGGACCCCTACAATTACAGCACCGTGACATTTCTGATTTAAATAGCTGAAATCATGAAATTTATGATTTTTAAAATCCTATGACTGTGAAATTGACCAAAATGGACAGTGAATTTGGTAGGGCCCTACGCATACATGAAGGGAGCCTTCAGGCATAGATGTCCTTCTTCATGCTTAGGGTGGGCTTAGCATGGCACCATCCCCTTGCCTCTCTCCCTTTTCTGGGGTCTGGTCTGGGGAATGGGAGGAGTCAGGGTGAGCCAAGTTTATTTGGGATTGACAAGGCTAGCACTTTGGCTCTCAAACTGTAGTAGTGATATATATATATTTATTTTTTTAAAAAAAGTAAAGAAGAGTGACCCTAGCACTTGCTTTCCTGTAACACTAACTTCTGTCCCTAGTAAAATAATGTTGATGTCACTTGATAGTGACTCCTGAAATCTGAATTGAAAAATTAATTTCAATTTTCTTGAATAAAAACACTATTGTATGGATTGAAAACTGGATGACAGAGCATAAACAAATGGTAATGTATGTGATAATGTCTGGCATTGGGAAGATGTGTCTGTTGGGTAGAATAGTAATCAGTGCTAAAACTGTCTTATTAAATATCTGTATCAGTGATCTAGGAAAGAGAATAAAAACAATATTGATGAAATATGCCATTGATACCAAATTGTGCGCAGCTGCAAACACCAGCGAAACCAGAGAAATCACACAAACTGATCTAAAGAGGTAGAAAATAATAGGGTAGAAATAATAATAAAATGTGATTCATTTTAGAAAATGGACCTAATATATCTAGAGAAAATTAATCCAATAATTCAGATTTTAGGGGTCACTATTAAATGTATTAAATGTATAAAGTTCAAAAAACCATCTAAAAACCTAAAAGGATGTATACAGAAAATGGATGGAGGAGTGTGCCACCAAGGAAGTATACATAGGAATAAGCGCGAGCATGTAGGAACAAAATCAGGAAAGCCAAGGCAAATAACAAGTTACAGCTGGCAAGAAATGTTAGAAACAGCAGGAAGGGTTCTTCAAATATATCAGACCAAAAAAAGAAAAGAAAAAACAAGGATGAAGTGGGTCCGCTGCTCAATGGAGAAGGTGAGCTGGTAAAAGAAGATGATAGGAAGGCAGAGCTACTCAATGCCTACTTTGTTTCAGCATGTGGCCAATCAACTAGCGAAGTTACCGTTATTCTGCCTGTTGTTCCAGTATTGTCTAGATGTGTGCTCAGTTCTTCTTACATTATTTTATTAGGTATGAAAGTTAGTTTTACAAGACAGTAATTGCCAGGATCACTCTTCTTTCCTTTGTTTGAATATCAGTAATACAGTTTCTTAACTTCCAACTTTTCTAGTGTCTCCCCAGATGTGATTTTTTTCAAACATAATTGTCAGGATTTCAGTAAATTTATTAGCTGATTCTCTTCATATCTTAGGATGCGTGTAAACTTTATTAATAGCTATAGTTTCTGTGTATTCCTTACCTACTCTTTATTAATAATTATTAATAGCTTTCCAAGTTCCTCAACCTTTTATAATGACGGGACTCTATTTTTTTCTCACCTCCCCTTGAGGAACAATGCATCTGTTTACCGGTGCATGTCTCCTGGTGAGAGAAATTTGAGTGGACAAAGTGATACAGTGCCAAAAAAGGCCAATGTAGTTTTGGACTTCAAGCACAGATGCCTCAAGTCATAGATCAGAGAGCTAATAACTCCCTTCCCTACAGCTGTCTTGCAACCACATGTAGAATATTAATTCTATTGTTGGCTTTACCAGGAAAATGTTAACAAATTGGAGGAAACTTAGTGAATAACAACATAAAAGATTAGGGGGTGGGAAAAACTGATTGGCAAGATTGAAAGAGCTAAATAAATTCAGCTTGGCTCAGTGACCACAAAGGGTGTGGGAGACATGATAATGATCTAAAAATATACAATATGATGTGATGGTCTGGAACCTCTCTTGCTTGGAACATTTAAAACTACGCTGTATTTAAAGCTAGATCCACAAAGGGATTCATTCTGTGCCTAACTGTCATTCTAGGCCCCTAAATCCAAAATATGGCAATCAATACAGTAACTCCTCACTTAAAGTCATCCCGGTTAATGTCGTTTCATTATTACGTTGTTGATCAATTAGAGAACATGCTCGTTTAAAGTTGCACAGTGCTCCCTTATAACGTTGTTTGGCAGCCGCCTGCTTTGTCCGCTGCTTGCAGGAAGAGCAGCCCTTTGCAGCGAGCTGGTGGGGGCTTGGAACCAGGGTGGACCGGCAGCCCCCCATCAGCCCTCTGCTCCACTAAATTCCCTGTGCGGCAGCCGCCCAGCAAGCTATGAATTGCCGGCAGTTCAGCTGTCCCTCCCCCCACTACCATGTGCTGCTCCTGCCCTCTGCCTTGGAGCTGCTCCCGGGAGCCTCCTGCTTGCTGTGCAAGTGTGGGGGAGCGAAAGAGGGATGCTAATGTCAGGGTGCCCCGCTCCTGCCCCCACATCTCCAGAGAGCAGGAGGGGGATGGCACGACAGGGCTCAGGACTGCTGTCTCAACTTGCTGATCTACTTAAAAAGGCAATGTACTTAGAATGGGGTTAGCGTACTTAAAGGAGCAATGCGCGTCCTTCTCTCTCTGCCATGCTGTCTCCCCTCCCTCCATTGGTGCTACCTTGTAGAGTGTGAGGCTACATTAACAACGTGTTAACCCCTGAGGGCTCAGCCGAGTGCTAGTTCATCATTTAGCATTAAGGCAGCCCCTGGGAAATATCCCACCCTCTGACTCTACCACCTCAGCCAAGCTACACAATCATCATTGCTGTGTACAGTATTCAATTGTTTGTTTAAAACTTATACTGTGTATATGTGTGTGTGTGTGTCTGTGTATGTATGTGTGTGTGTGTGTATGTGTGTATATATATATATATATATATATATATAAAAAATATTAGTCCTTTGTCTGGTGAAAAAAATTTCCCTGGAACCTAACCCCCCTATTTACATTAATTCTTATGGGGAAATTGGATTTGCTTAACAATGTTTCACTTAAAGTAGCATTTTTCAGGAACATAACTACAAGGTTAAGCGAGGAGTTGCTGTATCATGTTTTCTAAATGCTCTCCCCTTATATGCCATCTATACAGGTGGCCTTGGTGTATAGATAACTTGTTACAAATAAAGTTCAGGTACACTGAAGTCAGTGTTTGAGTGATAGTCATTCCATGCTAAGATTGATCAGTTGCAGCATGGAGAATTTTTTAAAATCCTGTGCTATGGCTGTGGCAGAGGGGAAGAAAGTTTTCTTCCCTTTCATCTTAGCATCCATGAAACTGTACTGGGTTGTGGGTAGCTTGGTAAATCTAGTCTACCACTCTTTGGAAGAAAGCATAAGATTTTCTCACTGTGAGGAGTTAAGTTTAGAAAATAAGATCTCACAGGTCAAATGCCACATCATCTGAATTTCAGCCACTTTTGCTCCCAGAGGTTCTGGCTGTGCTGGCCTAGCTTAGTTTACTATCTACTATCTGGTTGTTACCCATGCCCCTAATAGCTAGTAAATTCCAGCAGAGAGGTACTGAGTACATTGTTGACTGTGATCATTAATGCCTTTCTTAGGGTGGACAGAGAGGCAGTATGTCCCAGACGAGGAGTTGTAAGGCCATTGCTCAAGAAACCATCTCTTGAAGTTGATGGTCTCACTAACTATTACCTTGTCTCTATCCTAGCTTTTTGGGACAAGGTTATTGAGACATTGTGGTAAGGCATCCCCATCATCACCTGGGG